TCACACACACACACACTCACGGCCGTCTGCACCTGCATGGCCAAGGAGGCGTGATGGATGATACTACGTAGCATTTTATTACCAAATTATGACGGAACCGGAAAAGATGTGGACGACTCCGGGCGCGATCAACGCATACTCGACGTTCGAACATTCCTGGCTGCATATAACTGCAATTCCGACCTGGTTGCATGCCGATGTCTCCATAAAGCATTAGTACCGGCGGGTATACCTGTTACGAACAACATGCAGGTGTATGGATAGGATAGATAGGATAGATAGGAACTCGATGGCCAACTGCCGACAACACTTGCTTCTGAACACGGCTTGAAAAGAACAAGACAATCACATCATTCGTGTTCCATGAACTCAGCTCGCGCACTTTTCTCTACACACGTTTGCATCGCTTGCACGCCGGTTATCATCAGGAGGCTTACCGCACGCCGGTTATCATCAGGAGGCTTACCGCACGCCCGATTCCCACCTAGACCTTCCACCACTGAGCAAAGAGTGGCGACTGGCCTTGCCCTCTCAAATAGCTGACGCGACAGGAACTCCCTTCTACTGATTGCTTACTGCTCTCTGCTGCCGGTTTCTGGCTCTCACCGTCCCGCGCGAGTATTCAGGTATTGCTCTATTCCTATCCCTGGGCCCTGGCCTTTGATCTGCTACAGTCTTCCCCCGAATACAACGCACGGTCATTATAGCTGAATTTGGTGGATCTTTCAGTCTAAATTCAGCTATAATGACCGTGCGTTGTATTCGGGGGAAGACTGTAGTCTCGCCCAATCACGGATCTAAGCCGTTACAAAATATGGTACCGGAGGGTATATCTCTAACATATCTCGTCCTAAAAGGCTTATGTGTACAGACAAGCAAGTCTGTCATAAACCATGGATTCGCAGATATAAAATGGGCATTTCTGTAAATTATATTAATCAATACTTCGTTTGTTGTCCTCTACTCCCTCTCTGCCTACGGTTCACCGCGCAGTTCTCTAGGTCGATAAATGCAAATATTGTATTATGCTATAAAACATATATATTATTGAACTCTACTGATGTGTCGTTGTCCCCCGCTCTTTATCTGTCCTGATCAGATGGTATCCTGAGTCCCTCACCTCAACCACTCAGAGAAACCACGATCTATCATCATCAGAAGACGCGCGCTTGAGTCCGTCCGATTCAGCCCATTAGGACGGATCGGATGGACTCGCCACGCGCGTAAAGAACAGCTACGGAGATAAAGTACGAAACTAATTAGACAGCCAATCCATCTGAATGTGATGGCTCCCGAGTAATAAATGCTCCCTTCTCTTTAGCACCAACCGCATATCTTTTTTTCGTTTTTTTTAACATCCACAGATCTTGGGAGAGTGGAAAAGAAGAATTTAAAGAAGAAACAGGCGTAGAATTGGACGAAGGAAGACGATGAGCAAATTGAGTGGGAAGAAAAAAAGACGTGGAGGAACAGTCGAACCTTAGAAGAAGAAGAAGGATGGAGGTGACAGTATCATCATAGAGAGGGAGTGATTGTTCAAATCCTCAAACGCGAGGGGTGCGGTATTGCAGGGGCAAGCGAAAGGAAAGTAACAAGGTTACGATCACCGTACTGAGAACCGTTGGTTCATCTTCTCCTTTTTGCCTTAAATCGGTTAAGTGTAGGGGTGCGGTATTGCAGGGGCAAGCGAAAGAGAAGTAACAAGGTTACGATCACCGTACTGAGAACCGTTGGTGCATCTTCTCCTTTTTGCCTTAAATCGGTTTTCTCCTTTTTGCCTTAAATCGGTTAAATACTTACGATCATCGTCCTGCGCACAGCTGTTGAATCTTCTCTGACTTGCGATGAGGAATGTTGTTAATTTCTTTCTTCTGTTGTTGTTCTTGTTGTTCGTTCTACTATTACAGTATTGGGCCCCTTATTACTTTTGTTTTGTTTCCTCTCCGACATCGCCGTCGTTGTCGAAGTTTTCTTCTCTCTTGCGCCCCCCCCCCCCCCCCCTCCCCACTGCTGCTTTCCCTCCTCTTTTACTGCTTTTGCCTCAGGCCACCTCGAACCACGAGTTTGGACGGGTCATTAGGCGGTGATGTTTACTGGTCAGCGCTTGATGCGACGTGTATGAGGATTATGAATAGTCAGGACGTGCTCACCCAATGACCTTGCCAAAAGAATCTGGCGGGGGAAAAAAAAAAGAGAATCTGGCGTCAGTTGCGGTCAGGTACACCCGCGGAGGTCCTGGTGCTAGTGTGCCCCGTCAGATATGACGCCGGCACTCCCGCGAACGAAAGGAACGGCCAACAGCGATTGCACAAAGGATGTGGAAAAGCTTCCTACGCACTATTATGTCGGTGCGTTCGGATTGCAGAACGCATGTGGACGTCGATACGGGCAGGTGCACGCGCCGTACGTGGAAACGCACGTGATCAGGTGCATGTTATTTATTTATGTACTATTACCTTTAAAGAGGGCGACAGCCTTCAGGTATCGTCATCGAACTCACCGGCGCCAAGTAATCAAGAGTTATGTTACTCTCGCATGATACGAACTCAGGTGTGCTTTTCGACACTTCTATATGGGTGTACCATTCAGCCACGCGGGCTAAAGTGTGCATGTTATTTATGGAACATGCGGATGGTCAGGTATGTGATCCGTAATACGAACCAGGACATGCAGACGGCCAGGTGCGCGATCTGTATCCGAGCGTCCAGGTACATTCTGTGAGGGGTATTGTGGCCTGACAGGGATCTCTCCCTTTTTTGGTTCCCCTGTGTTTCTAGTGCGTCGGGAAGAATCAAACCACTTCGCTTTTGAAAAGTCGTTGACGAAGCGCGTTCACCCTTATAGTCGTCACGTGATCAGCCTCATAGTCGTCACGTGATCAGCCTCATAGTCGTCACGTGACGTGACGCGATTAGATACGTATACGTGCCCGCTTACACGCACACGCACTCAAAGCGTGTGCACATACGCACACAATCACAACATGCAGCACACACACACACACATACACAGAGGCACGCACACAGACCCAGAGATGCGGACATGCACGCAAGAGTGTCCACACACAACACACGCAAAGATAAAATAACCAAAGCGGCACCCACTGGCAGGCCAGTGGCTGAGTGGTACATACACACCTGTAAGTGTTCATGAACAGGTCATGAGTTCGAATTCCGAGTGAAGGAAGGGTATAATAAGGCAAAGAGCCAATCACAAGGATGTAACATAGCTAGGGGCCATCCCCTTTTAGTTGAACAAGTTGGACTCACCGCCGCGGCTCGGCTCCGAGGCGGGGATGAGATGAATTGATGAAGGAGGGCCACCTCAGCCAAACCAAAACGCCAAGCCTTCTTGGTTTTCCTAGGGAAAAAAAAAAAAAACACGGTAAGCCAAAGGCAAACGCACCAGGTACGTCCCAAATCAGGAGGAAGGAGAAGGGGTGCTGTGGAAGGTGTTCGCGATCCTCCCCAGCGGTTTTCGAAAGAGAGAACCATGGAGGTGTGATGGGCCTACAAATACTCTCTCCTTAGTCGAGCAAGACACCATCTGGTTATGGGATTGTCCTGCTCAAGCTAGGGTGGTGACAGTAAAAGGGAGAAGACCGTCCGCTCAAATCCACTCCTGGATCGGAAGGGCACCTCTCCTGCAGCTGTGCATCGACCCAGTAGCCTGGGGCTGGACTGCAAGATCTGAGGAGGTCCCAGCTATGTCCCTGTAGGACGTGAAACACCCGATCCCATTCCGACCTCGATCCATGAAATCGTCTTATGCCATATGTACTGATTTATTTTGGGAGACATGGTTGAATACTCAGTCTCCACCGGGTACCTACAACTCAGACAAAATCTGAGAACCCCAGCTCAGATTGCTATTCCGCGATGGCAAGCAGTTTGGAACGAAGACCTGTCGGGTGCAGGTCCAGAGTCCGAAAGGTTGTGGGAGACTCTGACCCTTCTCGGTGCAGGTCCAGAGTCCGAAAGGTTGTGGGAGACTCTGACCCTTCTCCGGAACGGGAAACAGGTTAGCATACTGTGGCTGCTATCACTGATGGTGTCTCCATCAGCTGTATGGTTAAGGAGTCGGGGAATGGAAGTGGAGTTGGGCTGCTCGCGCTGTAGGTGGCCGTTCGAATCCACACGTCACCTGTGGTGGGAGTGTCCTGCATCCAAACGAATTTGGAACTGGTGGACACACCACTGGAGGGAGTTTGGTGGTCAAGGGGTGGAGTGGGATGAAAGATTGATTCTCTTGGGCTTCCTCCCACTGGCTGGGGTTGCATCGCCCATGCAATGAGGGGTCTGATATGTGAAACCATTTGTCTTGACAGAAACAGATCGAGATTTCAAAGAAGGCCTCTTTCAGATGTGGAAATTAAGAAACACATCAAACAAGGGCTGA